ATTATTTTTTTATGTTATTTATTTTTTTTAAAATAAATATAAAATTTTTTTAAATAAATACTTGTGTATGATTAAATTTGTGAATGAGTTTTGTCTAAATTAACATTTAATATCATCAGGAATTAGAATATAGTTTAGTGATCTGCATCCGGCCTTATTTTTGAAACCCGGCCTAGCCCTAATTTTTTTTAATAAAATTTGGCCGACCTGGCACGAACCCTAAATTATTTAATAAAAAATTTACCAGCTTGGCCTGATTTATTATAAATAGAGTGTTGTTAAACGGCTCGTTTTGAGCCGATTTATAAAAAACTCAATATTTTAGCCGGAAAAATATTTGCTAAGCCTCATGATTTCGCTAATAGATGTCCAAACCTTTGTTCCTTCTAGAAACAAAATCCCATAAAATTGATAAATTTAGATAAAAAAATTTATCAGGCCTGACTGAGCACCACCAGGCCCGAATTTTTAAAAAAATATTATGCCTGTCCCAGCCCGAATCTGATTTTTTTTTAAATATAAGCCCGAAGCCCGTTCGGACCAGGTACTGGCCGGGCCTACTCTTGCAGATCTTTAATATACTTCGTGCAATATCATATTTTATACTTCGGTAGAAAAAAAACAAAAGTTTGCTATACCGATGAAATAAGTGTCGTAGACCTTTTTTAATTGTTATTATGATCTTCATTTTGGCTCAAGCCGAAATTTATTTAAGATTAATATTGGTAAACGGCTGAAAACTCATCTAGTTTTCGAGACTAAAATTGACTTAAGCCGGCCTTTTGAGTCAAATTTAGCTCGAGTGAGCTCATGACTTAGCTCAAGCTTCGAAATTTATTTATTTGTTAGCGTTGTTAAACGGCTAGCCGGATTAGCCTTGAATCGGTTTGAGCCATCGGCTATAGCTATCGGCTTGAGCCTGAGCCGAATTTTTGGCTCAGAAACTGGCTGAGTTTTGGGCTAAGCCGGCTTGGCTAAGCCATTTAACAACACTACCATACATATTTGTTATGTTCTACCTCCCCCCCCCCCTCTTGTCCCGTATTACTTATATCTTTAAGTTTTGCTCCACTTGTTTCTTTTGTTTTCCCATCATCCTTTTTTTTATATTGATATTATACCTTATTTTTATATTGTATATGATTTTATCGCGATATTATATAACAACATGTTATTTATTTTTCTTTGTTTGATAATTTATAAAAGATTGCAAAAATACCTTTATTATTCATTCTTATAATTATTTTACTGAATGTTTTTTTTGTGTTAAATAAAATTCTGAAAGTTTTATTCTTTGTTAAAACTCAACGTCAACCTACCAGAAAATCCCGGTCCCTCGAATTCTACCGATCCCTCTCCCTATCCCCCGGTAGAACAGCCCGCGGTCGCGGCCGCGAACCTATCAATATTGTTACAAATCCTTATATGAATTTATATTATTATATATAAGTGTTTAAAAAGGTCATATATAAATTATCTTAAAATACCAAATTTACAATATTTTCTTCTAATATATGATTATTATAATTAAGATTATGATTAACACATAGATAAATATATTAATTATTATAAATATTCCTTATTATATGCATATTATTAAAATCATATTTTTAAAATAAACTTTTAGATGTCTCTTTAAATTTGAGCAACTAATCTTTGAGGAGGAAATCTTGTTTTTGCATAAAGAACATTTTGCATAGATCATTGTCTGGCTTCTTCCATCCGTTTCACATAGAGTAAAATACTTACGTAAATTATGAAATGGTAAAAGATTCTCATTCTCACCTATATCTACTGTCATATCAATGGTAGTACTAGTAGATGTATCATCTTCTAAATTTATAATTTAGGACATTATTAAAACCTAGATTTATTTATATTATAATATAATTAAATTAAATAAATAAAACTTTTATTTGTAGGCTTATCACTTCCAAAAAATGAAGAAATGAAATTTTTGAAATATGGTGGAATGGTGGTTGATAAAATATGATGTAGATAGATATTTTTTTTAAAAGAATATTTTAATTTAATTTTCAAAATTTTTGTTTTATTTGTTGTAGTGTTGTTAAACGGCTCGTTTTGAGCCGATTTTTGAAAACGGCTAACTCATTATTTCATCCAGAATAGTATTAGGCAAGCCTTGAATATTTTATTTTAGAAGGAACAAAGGTTTGGACATCTATTAGCGAAATCTCGAGGCTTAACTAATATTTTTCTGGCTAAAATATTGAGTTAACCATTTTTAAAAATCGGCTCAAAACGAGCCGTTTAACAACACTAATATGTTGCTTTTTAAGTAAAAAATTAATTTTTAAAATGATCGGGATCGAATATTTAAGAAAAAGATCTCGATCACGATCCTCAATTTGAGGTCAGGATTCCGAATCCAGAAAAATTGACAAATTTAAGATCGAATCCAGGATCGGCGATCTTTTGATTCGATCCTTTAACAACTCTGCAAGTGGGGTAGTTCTTGCACTGAGATTTGGTCTAAATAATAATTTGAGAGTGGTTTAGAATTTACGATGATACAAATAAAGTCTATTTGGGAGAATTTAAAAAACTAAAATAAATTATTTGTTTATGTATAAAGTTTATTTATCTTTAAGAAAAAAAGAAAAAGTTTTTTTTATTCTATCTAGTTTATTTAAAATACGTATTTATATTTGTCTCAATATTAAACCTAATTTAATATAAATAAATGTCCAATTTTACATATGACGATCTATTATTATTGCCTTAAACAGTAAAAATGTACATGTATTAACGCTTAAGACAAAATTTAAATAAAGAAATATATTATAGTAAGACACTAACGCCTTTAAAACATTGAATTTTAAATTGAAATAAAACATTATTATATATTTCATGTTACCAACATTTAAACAATTGAGATATGAAAGAAAAAAAAAATTAATATTTTGATTTTCAAATTTCTTTTTCAAAAGCTTTTTTTAAAATTGGCCCATGAGTTGCAATTAGAGATTTGCAAATCATGGTCATTCCTGGCTGGCCATGATCGCGTTTATGGCCAGGTCTATTTTTAAAAAGAAAATTTCTATCAGGCTAGGTTGGGCGTAATATTTTTTAAAAAGTTTTGAGCCAGATTTGGGGTTAAATTTTTTTATAATGTGATTGCATTTTGTCAAATAAATTGATACATTTTAAAACTCTCGCAAAGAAACTAAGTGAGAGGAAGGCACTAATAATGTTTATTTGTAGAATATTTATTTTTACAATCAAAAAAAAAATATTAAAATTTTATATATTTAAATAAATTCTGGCTGTGCTGGGTGGGGAAATAATTTTTATTTCAGGTTGGGCTTTTCGTGACAAATAAAAACAAGATTTAGTTAAGGATCAAGCCAGGCAGGAGACAAATTTTTTTAAAAAAAATTTGAGCCAGGCTTGAAGAATTGGCCCAATGATCATTAATAGAAGTCTGGGCAGGTTTTTTTGCCTCTTACATTGTTTTTTTTTCCCAACAACATGCCACTTGTACAAGTTGCCAGACTGGTGTATAATAATTTTTTTATGAAGGAAAAGAGCAAATTTGCCTAATTATTGGCCTTAAAACCATTTTCAAAACTTTGAGATTATCCTTAAAAAAACAATATATTCTAACCAAAAGTCTTTTTATAACTCGTAGATTAAAAAATATCCAAAATAAGTTAAAATGATCAAATCTCAGACTGATCTTGTGCAATAAAATGATCTACATTTTGATCATGTAAAAAATGTTTTTTTTTTAAATTCAGGCAGAGGGATAAGATAACCAACTGGTTAAGATTTTTAAAAGGTGTATTTTGGCTCTAGGTCCATAATTTTATTTGCTTGGCTTGTAGAATAATTTTATACAAATTATTTAGCTTATTATTAGTTATGAAGGAAGAATATATGAATTAGCCTTAATTCTAATGCATAATTTTGGACCAGCCCAACCTGTAAAAATATTTTTCACATGATGTCTAGCCCAGCCTAAAAAAAATGGTTAATGAATCACATCAACCTTTACCAGGCAGGTTTTAAAAATTTAATCTGATATAAGAATAATTCATCCCTTGTTGAATTTTTTAAAACAAAATATAGATTTAAGGAAGCCAGTATAAAAATTTTGTTCACTGGCAAAACTTAGATAATGATAACAATCTTATATAATTATTTCCACTTAAGAAGTTTTGTTAAATTACAAAAGCTATCAATATTTTATTTTCCTACAATTAACAGTCAAATATATTAATATAACAATAAATTAAATATAACAATAAATTAAACATAAATTTAAAAAAAACAGTGAAAGTAATATTTGGCAAAAATTGTTTAACAATTATATATATAACAATAAAATTTTATAAATGTTTAAACAACTGATATTAACATTTGTTATAATTTGTCATAGAATTTAAATTTGAAAAAAAATGAAACTATGAAGATTTATGTTTGTCATTCAGATGATTCTTAAAAAATTCAACAGGAAAATTTTCATAACAAATATCACATTTGACATGTCTCACAAATGAGCACATTTCTTTTGAATAACTATGATCCTTTTTAAAGTGGTCATTTAACTCTATGATTGTACCTTCTATTTGGTCACAATAACAACATCTATAGATTATACTTCCATGTGATTTTATGATGTGTTTAGTAAAAGCAGTTGATGTACTGTACTTATGTTGACATAGAAAACATTTTTTAATAGAATGATAGCTGGGAGTTATTATTCGGGTAGTATTAAAAATTAACGGTTGTTGTTTGAATTTAATATTATCATATTTTGGCATATTTAGTTATAATTCTTACCAGGTGATTAGATGAATGAATGTTATAATACTGTTAAAATCCTAAATGTTATTGCAATGATAAAATTTAATAAATAGCAATAAAGGAACTAAATAGGTTATATCAAGATATGACAAAAATTTTATATTATATATCAGCATGACATAAATATTTAAATAAATGCTACGACTTTATTCAACACTTAGAAGCCAGTTTATTGAACATATGATAATTGTTACTATTTTGGCATTCAATCATTCATTGAAATAATTTTTTAAATGTTATAGTTTTATAAACTTTTATGTCTTCTGGAATCTCTGTTACTGTCAAAGCAATTGGATCATCAAAATTTGCCAAAAGAGCTGCTTTGATTTTAGTAAATTATTTTAACATTAGTATTCTAATAAATAATATAGACTGAAAATGCTATCAAACGTGTTAAACAACTATTGTTACAAAATCAAAATGCAGTAAATTGAATTTTTATATACGTGAAAAACTTATTTAAATAGATTGGATTAAGGATAGGTGTGAAACAAAAAGGATGTAGTGGCTTAGCATATTACCTAGAATACACAAATCAAAAAAACAAATTAGACGAAGAAGTCAATCAAGATGGTTTAATTTCTTAAACGTTTAAAATATATTATTATTTGTATAAGACAAACCACATTATATAATTAATTTATATTTTGTTAAACATCACTTTTTTTTAATATTAGGTGTCAAAATTTATATTGATAGGAAAGCACAACTAAGTTTATTAGGTACTGAAATGGATTTTGTATCCTCAGCTTTGTCAAGTGAATTCATATTTAACAATCCCAATATAAAGGGTACATGTGGATGCGGAGAGAGTTTTACCATGTAGCTAATAATATTGAAGATATAATAAATTATATTAATGCAAATTCCCTATATAAATGATTTATCTAGGATTGTTTTGTAAAATGTATTGTTAATATATTCTAATTAAATTAAATGTATCAAATGAAAAAATTTTCGCACAATAAAGATTTTTTCCTTGAGACTAGTATAGATTAATTCTCTCTAAAATTAAATTACACGTGATAATTATTACCTATGCTTTGGAGGGATATGACAAAACTACACATTCGTACAAATTTATTCAATATTCATAACATAGAAATGAGCTTGTCTATCAGTGAAATATGTTAACCCAAAGATACCAATTACCCAGATAATATTGTAAAAAAAAATTGTGTATAACAATAATAATCTATAAATTTGTAGAAAATAGCCTGCACACTCCAATTTTAATAAAGATTCTTTTGGCAACATTTATGCCATATTATAAAATTAATTATGAATTTAATTTTTAAATATTATGCAATTTCATTTTTTATTTATCATTTTATTCTACACTTTTATTATTTTGACTTTTTTTGAAAAATAATTATATTTCTCACAATGACAAGGTCAAAATTTATTGGCTTGGTCCAGATTTAAAAAAAATAAATATTTTTGCCTGTTATGGATTTATTTTATTTTGATTTTTTTTTTGCCCTGCCTCATTTTTGCATAATTTTGAACATTTTTAAAGCATCAACCTACCCTAAAATTATATTATTATGAATAATTGTGGCTTTTATTTTAACAATTTTTTTAAAGCGATTTGAAAATATGAGCAGTTTGAGGAATATTAAACACTTCCAAACTATATTATTTTCCATCTGATTGATTTATTTGATTAAATCAGTTTAGCCCTGGCCAGATAAAAATGATTTATTTTTAAGCTCACTAATTTTAAGGCTTGTAAAAAATGGCTCAAAGAATTATATTGGAACTTAAGAAAAAAAAATTAAGGCAAATGTAGATGAAGCATTTGGTAGATTATGTCTCTAATATTTTTTTATTTTCATTGTAATAAATAACATTGGGATTTTTGACATGCTTTATGTATTATATAAGTATTTTGTGCCAGATAGGATGACTTTCATAGGGGGTAATTGAAAACTAAATCATTAAAGTTACATAAATTATAGAAGCTAAGTTTGGATACTTTTAGCATTTCTTGTTACTAGTGCTGTAAAATTTAAAAAAAAACTAACGCGTTACCGTTACTAGTTTCCTTGTGAAAAAGGATGGCGCATTACTGACTATTTAGAAAGTAACGCGTTACTAAGTCGTTAGGATTGAGGGGTTCACTCTATATTAAGTGTTTATCATACTACTAAAAGGGAACATTTTTTTTTTTTACAAAGTATTCGAATTTTCGAATATACCTCACATATAATAAATACCAATTTTAATTTATTATGAACCTTCCCAATTTAGAACTATGCCCATAATAATTTTTAAAATATTTACCGATTTAAGTTGTATCAAAACGAACATTTAAATAAAATAATTTTTTTTTTACTCTCCCAAATCCAACATTTATATCATAATTTAAACCTAGATGATTTATTAATTTTTTTTCAGTTTTTTTAAAAATTAGATTGATCCATCTTCCAATTTATTATGACTGCTAGAGGTCAGTGCGTGGCTCAAACAGTCCCATCAAAATTTTCGTAAAGATGTTAAAGCCTACCTCATAATTTTTTTCTGCCAGACCAGCCCTTGCCCATCAATTTTTGTGAAGGGATAAAATTATAAATTTGCCTAATTGTAAGCGTGACCATATTTTCTAGTTATTTTATTTTAATTTGATTTTTTTTTCCTATATGCAGGGATGAGTTTAATACTAAATTTAATTCTCTCAACGTTCCTTCCGGAAAAATTGATCTAAAGATTTACCCAAAATAATAGACTTAGAAAATCAAACATTTTTTCGCATTCCCCGATTCCGGCTTAAATATCTTATTGGTAGAGGAAGACCGGGGTAAAATGGTTAAAGGGGTACCTTGAGCCTAATAAAATTTTTTGGCGCTAAGATGTATTAATAATTTCTTATCTATGTTCGTCAATTGGAGAACATGTTTGAGTTTGATATATTTTGGAGAATAAAAATAAAATCATCTTTATAGTTATTTTTATCCTAGAGTAGAAAAAATATATTTTTTAAAATTGTGGACACTTGTTTCTTTACTTCGTAGCTATAAAAAGTTTATAGTTTATCCTGATTTTCTTAGTATCTTTTGTCATTACTCATATTAGATATTAAATCTATAATGGTCTCTAAGAGCAGCTTTTCCTATATAAATTTTTTTCGTTTTTACTTTTTTATATTACAAGTTTTTCAAAGATAACTTGACTTATAAATTTAGGTGTAGGATACTTTCTTATTTTAGTTCCATTTTTTCTATATCGTAGATGTTGTGGAAATTTTTTTATTATATATGAAATATAACATAACTATCAATTTGCTATATACATATACTTTTTTTTTTAAAACCCAAATAACAAATAATCTATGTAACTTAATATATTTTACCGTTAAATTAGGATCTGACAAATTTGTTCATAGGATAACTTTGTGGAAAATTAATTTGTCGACGGTGTAAAAGTTATCATGCATTTTTTATATTTGTTATTATTAAGCTAGAATGGTAATATCAATGAATATTTTTTTTTAATTATCCCTCCTTTATGAAAGATTTACTTTATAAACTGTGATGATGTTACCGACACCCTCACTATGCGGCCTTGACTTTCATGCCTTGCTTTGATCATTTAACCCATATCTAGGTAATTTAGGAATTAATTATGTTAAATTAAATCGAAAGTTTATATGTCGTCAGCAGAACACCTAGAACCTTTGGCTTTTAAACACTAGAAATTGCGGGAGGTATTTTTCTTAAAGAAAATTGCATATCACAATCATAATCCTTTTTTTTTGTCATAGGTTGATAATACCAAAATTTTTAACTGCAATTGATCCAATATCTAATGGGCATAAAACGCTTAAATTTTTCTAAGGAACCTAGTCTCAAAATGCTACCTGTAGTTGAGGCTCTATTTATTACTAAATATGAGAACTTTGCATTAAATATAATTGTACCCTAATGATTTAGCTTTGAAGATTGTTGCTATTAAAAAACTAAATTAAAGTTACATTACTAAAAATACTACTAGCTGTTATTGAAATTACTTTATAATATTATCTATAAAAAATGATTTTGAAATTTATAAATTTTAATCAACGGAATTTAAATGAAAATATTGGATACACAAAGAAATACTGAAAAAAGAAATACACTAACAACGTAATATTTATCTTGCAAATGAGATATAAATAATCGTAATATAATATTTATTGTAATCGAAAATTATAATCATTTTTTAAAATTGATGTCTAAAAAGTGTGATTTTTTCTCCAAAAAATACACAACATTCTACAAAAGCATTTGATTTTAAGTCAAGAGATATCTTATAAATAATAATTATAATGGGAAAATCGTCATATAGAGATAAATGAATGATATATATATATATATATATATAATAATTTAACAATGAAAAGTTACAAATTTGATAGAATAAAATAATTATCAAATTATTTTACTCATGTGAATATTTTTTTTTTAGATGGTTGGCGGTACCTATTATTTTTTTTATAATATAAGAAAATGTTGTTAATTTCTATGAAATTTTGAAAGAAAATAATATGTGTTAAAAAAAAGGAATTTTCCTATTAAATTATATTTTTTATAATAAAAGTAACATTTTCGCATGTTCACCTCAATGCATATAAAATACCTGGACTGGGGATTCATTTATTAAAAGTGTACATCAATGCAAATCAGCTGGAGACGCCATCTTGTTTACACTAATCATTATTAAAATTTTAAACGGGAGGCCTAATTTATTCATATATCTGATGCAATTATTAAAGAATTACGGGATCATCGAGATAATATGGAAGCAAGTTATCAATTTAATAATAGTTTTTAACATGAGAATAATTACTATATGTGTTACCAAAATGGCGGATCCAGTTGATTTGCTTTTAACGACGTTTAAAATAGCATTTTAATGAGTGAATCGTCAGTCTAGGTATTATATATGTTATTGATTCACCTCTAACACCAGTATTAATTATGAATATGGATAAACGAATTAAACTATAATTCACAGCAATTTATTTTTAAAAAAAATATTACATTTTAAAATAATGTAAATGGATTAAAATATTTTTTTAAAAAAATATACCATAATATCATATCATTTCAACAGTATTTTCCTTGTGGATCGAAATTGTCTAATTTAAACAAAATCTCGTTATGCCTATCGACAAGTTTGTTGGGGCTGAATATGTAAAAAATTAAAAGTGGCTACATAAATTTTAAAGATTAATAGATTTAAAATGTGTCAATAAATAAAGGACGCTATTTTGTTAGAAAAAATAAAGTCGGTGACATAGTATAATTTAAAATATATATTTTTTTAAAATGTCAATCTTCAGCTTTATTCTAAAAAAAGTAGTTTAAAATTTTCCTTAAGATTGTTCAGTATAGTTGTTATAAAGGGGTAAAATACGTCTAGTTCGACTTAATCTACAAGAGCTTTCCGAATTATTTTTTGTTAAGCATTGATTGATATGCGAGTTGACTTATATCATCTATTTTTCAATGAGCTAAATATTTTCAAAAATAACCAAACGACTAAAAAATGTAGAAATCATCCGTAATTTCTTGGCCACCATTTAAGATAAATGAGAGGGAATTGGTCTATAAGTCGGAATGATGCATGATTTGATAGGCTAAAAAATATAATTCTTAGGTCAAAATATTGCCATCTTATTATTAAAGAAAAAATGATCATGATAAACCATCCTTACTATTTTTTTTGTGCTATGCTTCGTTATAGTACTTTTAAAATGGTGTTCTCTAATTGGTTACCAACGCTTTCCAGCTCTCCTTTAAAATTAAAAAATATCTTTAGTTTGTCTTACACTTTCCAATATATATAAGAATCCCATAATAGATCTAGGGATTAATTTATTATAAACATTTAATTTTAATTTAAAAAAAAGAGAGACTCTTAAAAGAATATCATTATCACTAATTATAGGTCAGGAAATAGGGTTGGGAAGACACGTTTTGCTTGTTTAACCGCAAAATGTTGAGGAATTCTTTAGCCTTGGAAACGAAGGTTGTGGGGAAGGCATATCCGCCAAACATCCTATGGTAAGAAACTGGTGAATTTATTCTCCCTATTTTAAGCTAAGTTTTTTAATATAGGGTATAAAAAAAGATGCAATTATTTAGGATTTAAGTTAAAACTCGTGAAAGTCTGTTTTATTATACTTCTTCGTAAAAAAATTAATCTCATTCAACATTTACTCAGCAATCTTATCTCCATCAATAAAGGTAACTTTTAGGGGGAGGACTTAGGAATACTTAATAGCAAAATATAACTACTATGCTCAATAGCTGATATTTAAGTTTTCCTAACTAAACCCAATATATAGGTAACTTTCTTAATTTTAATATCAATTTGTTGTATTTTTTTTAAAAAAAAAATCAATTTTGTTAAATTTTATCAAAAATATGTTCCATCATCCTTTGTGTTCATATTTTACTCTAGGATAATTATAAAAATTTATTTTTAAAAAAAATGAATATAATTTAAGGTATTTATTATGAATCATATAGTTAACAAAATTAATTTTCCAAAAAAAGAATATTTAATCTGATTATTTTACATTAAGAATTGACTATCATTTTTGCTATAATTTTTATTACCTAATTCATAATTATTCTGTTGACATATTGCAGCCTACATTCAATCCTTTTTTTGGCATCTAACTAACTCCTATATTTTATATATAGCAACCTCTTCCGATCTCACCTAATCTTAGAGGGGTCCTAATTTATTTTACTAATCACTTTATTTCTGACCTATTTGACTAATGTTTATGCTTAAAATAAGTATGTATAATCAACAAGAAACCATTGGGTTAGTTGGCTTGGGAGGATCGAGATTGTAAGGAGGATATATGTCTGCAGTGACTAAGGGGCCTTCCCCTCCATTCAAAAGTTCCATAAAGAGTTGTTTATTATCACTCGTTGTTTTGTTAAGCGGATGAATAAATATCGGAACCGACATATTCATGATTATGTCTAAATGAAGAAATGATACAAAAATGTAATTATTAAGGAAATTTTATAAGAGTCATGTAATGTATATCCTATAGTTTTATTATTTTTTTCTGAATTGTGATTTACTTATCCGATTTTATTTATTTTAAGAGCAATTATAAATGATTTAAAGCCGCTTATAAGTATTAAACATCAAGATGGTGCCATGAAAGGTTGAGCAGCGGTTGACTTGTAGCTTAGCTATAGCTACGTTTTATTTGCTAGTTACTGACAGCATCTACATTTCACTAAAAATAGGCATAACTTTAGCTAGTTTCTTTTTAATTTTATCGAATAAGCTTGTAATCAGGATTCTTTAAAATTAAAAATTTTTTTTTAGAGATCTTCATATTATTTTAAGAAACTATTATAAAAAAAAGTAATTAATAATGTGTAGGCGCCTGTAGGTATAAATTTTTAAGGAGGATTTGCTTCCATTGAATATCCTGTTATGAAAAAGCTAGGTTGCTAATTGAATATCTAACCCTTTTAAAATTTCATTCAAAAAAATATAGCAGGGTATTACACAAAAATAACTCTATTAGAAAAAAATAATGATTATGATTATATGCAATATATAGATTTGGTCAATGTCTAGCAATATTACAGCAATATAATTTTCCCTATTCCTTTTCATGCCAACCACCCTGCCCCACAAAAAATTTAAAAACAAGATGTTCCTACCCCCTTCCCTTTCACCCACACTTATCTTGAGGGGGTCAACATTGCTTCTATTGATAAATTGATTGATTTGGCCCCAAATTAAGCGATGATCTGTTTAGAAAATTTAAAGCCAATTATATAGTTACTCTAAAATAAAGTTCTGCGAATCGCGGCCAAGCCCATACACGACCTCGGCCTAAACTGGGCCGAGCCTAAATATTTAAAAATTTGATCCGAGCTGGGTCAGGCTTATTAAAAAAAATTTAGGGTCTGGCCGGCCTTGAAAAATTGGGCCCAATGCAGATGACTACTCTAAAATGCAGCTATAACTAAACTTCATTTTTTTAAAATAGCTGTCAAACCATACATTTTTGCACATTTGGTGCCATACTAGTCAGCCACCTACCTCATTTTGTAGCGTAAAAAAAAGGATATTAATTAGGCTTTTTACTTCTATCATTTTCACCCATGAAATAACGAAAAATTCTAGTTATAGGAGAGTTCAATCCATCTTTGATGTATTCCATTCCTTCGTAAATTAAAAAATTAATATAAATTTGAAAATTTATGAAAAATCTTTATTAAATTTGTGGTATGTTTTGATAAATATATATATTTTTTTCTTTTTCGGTTGTTTAGTTATAACGGGAGGGTGGGGGGGGAAGAGATTCGATTCCTCTAAAACTCTAAAACGACAGCCATTGTTTAAAAATTAATTAGCCTGCCAGCATAAGTTTACTTTGCTTAAAAAATTACTTTACCCGATTAACAATAAAATGCAAGTATTTCCTTATAATTTTATTTGTAAAAAATATGCCAACATTTAAAATTATATAGTTCTAACAGTGCGCACAACTTTAGGCGTTTATATTTTGACGTAACCATTAAATTAAAGAAAAAAACGTAACGCGTCCCTTGTTTAAATTGAGTGTATCAATTTTATTATCGTCTGCGTTCTTATTTCATTTTAATTTCTAAAATATTCCTTTTTTTAGCGATTATAAGTAAGTTATTCATATTACATTTTTATATTAATATTACCCCCTTCCTCCTCGTATTATCATTTGCACTAATTATATTCCCATTATTATACCTTATATTATGAAGTCGTTGGTTGTTAAATTTCTTAAAATTTCTAGAATTGTTAAATTATATATTTTTTAATGATGTAATAATTATTTGATTTTTATATAATTAATAAATAGTAGCATATTAAAAAAAAAGAAAAAAAAAGAAGAATTTAAAAAAATAATGAAAAAGCAAAACCTATTATTTACTTTTTTAAAAAATGGTTTGCTAACGCTAAACGGTAATTTTACCCATCTGCACGCGGCCATTTTAAAATGTATTCACCTAAAAGGCTGTGTGTCCCTAGTTCAAATTATTTTCGATACTTATTTCAGGTTAAGTCACTTTTGAATTAAGTAGAGTTTAAAATTTAATATATTTAATTGTATTTTTTTTTGTTAGTGACAAAAACTCAAATCATTTTTAGGGGAATTACGGGGTTCAAGGTCAAATATATCAAGCCTGTGATATTATTTGCAAATTTTGTTTTAGAAATATTTTACCAGTTGACGAACTCCTAATCGTGGTGACGTTGGGATATCTTCTGACTTCGTAAAAGTTATTTCTGCAAATTACTTTCCACGGTACGCAGGCATGATCTCCGCACATGTTTCTATCAAGTAGAAATATAAAAATAAATTAAATTTATGAAAATACATTTCTCAGATAAATAACAAATAATTCTAACATCACTTTTCTAATCAAAATTTACTAATTTTCTCTTAATAGGCTGTGGCCTATATAGCAAAAATTAAATTCGGAAACTTTTTTAAATTTAACGAAAAAAAAGTAGAAGAAATAAGCTATTATCATTATAAAAAATAACATGTCCTAGAATTAGTTCTAAGAAATTCCAATAAATTTTAAAACTTCTGAAAGTTTTTCATTTTTGTGAATTTTTTAAACAAAATTTAGGACACAGCCTTACATACAATAAAATAAAATATATCAAGAAATATTTTTTAAAAAAAATCAAACAATAATAAGCTAACGAGGCCGAGGTTTTCAGCCAGCCTGTAAATTTTTTAACCCGGCCGGAAAAAATATTTTGATCAAGTTGTTCCGCCCATATTAAACCTCGAAAAGAAATTTAACTATACATTTATGCCTATTGTGTTTGAATTTCTCCGCTCCATGAGATGTTTACAAGTTATTTTTTAAAATGTGCAATTTTTCATAATGATTTATATTTCTATTACATTATAAATATTTAGCGTATATTTTTGTCGTTAAAGTAATTTAGAAAGATATATTTTAACAAAAATTTATCGCCTTTTTTTGCCCCAGGAATGATTTTATATACAGCATAATAAGATTTTAAATAAAAATAAATATTGATAAAATGAGTTATTTTCACAATTTTTAAGGGGGGAGGGGGGGGGGTTCCCAAACTTGAACAGATGTGGGAGTTTTTAATTCACTTTCCCTAGTGATGTCACCGTAATAAACTTGGGATAATCGTGGACATCTTCATATTGCTCCGCTAAGAACTTGAGAAAGGCGCCTATGTAGGGTGATCTCATAGATTCGAATTCCGCTAATACGTTGTTGTCTATCAGAAACGGCGATGAGACAATTTCTCCTCCCTCATGTATCTGGTCGGGGATTGTTGTGGGCGCGTGGTAATAATTGCCCCGTGTTTCTTTATCGATATTTTTTTTAAGAGGATAAATAATTTTTTTAAGGTTTCCTACGCGATAGATGGATAATGTATAATTTGCGTGTTCTTCATTAAGCGTTAAAAAGGTTTCCTTCTAAGAAATATCAGAAAAGAAATGTATTTTTACAGTCCTAATAAAAAATTTATATATATATATTATATACTACTTAGTTATCATTCATAAGATTCTTAATGAAAATGACATTTATATATTAAGTATACTTTTGGTTTCACGAGAACTATGATTGGTTTGTTTAGCATTTTCAGGCTTTGAGGTCACTAGTTTTGTAGATTTAGTAAATGTTATGCGGGACTTTACTGTAGTATCACTATTATCCTTGCTATCCTTGGAGTGATCTCTATTTCCGGTTACTTTTATAGCCTTGTTAAGCGAATCACCGGAGTTAGTTGAAGACAATGATCCAGGTTTTTTGTCTTTCCCAGCGGATGGATTCATATCCCTATTAGCATCCGATACGCTTATTAATCCCATTAAATTAGCTCCTATACCCACCAATATCGAATAATAGAAGTATTTGCACAAAATTTTGAACATTTTTGTTTAGAGGAAAATTTATTTATTAGCTCCCTTATATATATATATTCAATAGTTATTTTTTTTGTTCAAATATATCATTATAAAGAGATGATTTATTTCAATCTTTATTTATGCCATATTTAAAAAAAAAAAAATTTTTTTTTAAACAATTAATTTCAAATAAATTTAACTTATAGACTTGAATACCAAGATATTTAAATGGGAATATAATCTATATGCCACTTTCTAAGATAGATATGAATGGAATATTATGATATATTAGCCTATTATTTATAAAAATGTCTGAAAACTTGAAAATAAAATTTGTAATTATAAATGAGGTAATATATCATGATTATTCTATATTACATATATATATATTCCAAATCTAATTTTTTTTTAAAATATGATTTATACCGAATTTAACGGTATTTGATTGTAAATAAAATATATCCATTTATATATAATTATTAGCTTACATGATTGATTATTGTAATTTATTAAAATATATAGAAATAATTAAGCTATATTTGGCATTATTAAAAAATTCCTATAAAATACAAGATACCGTTTTTTTTTAATCAGACTCGGCGGCATAAATTTATATAAATCTTTTATTTAACACGTAAATAGATGTATTTTTTAATTAGTTATATTTATTTGCTCCCTCCCTGAATTTATAGTGTATAATTTTTACTGATGTGTTGTCATAGTGTGGACAAGGATTTTGCCTTTTAAAAGTTTTTATGATTTTCGAAATATCTTAACTGATAAAAAACCTCCTAAATTTTTTTCATCCTTTCCCCCAAAAAACATAAATTATATCCTTACAATCAATCATTTTGTTTTTTTAAAAGCCAGTAAATAAGTTAATAGTTTTTTTTTAAATTCAAAAACAGAGGATTATATTTCCTCCAATAAAATCTACATAGAAAAAAACTACCCAAAAAAAAAACGTAAAAAAGTGTTTTTTCCCTGAAAATCTTGACTAGACGCCTATGTGTGTTTGTAAAAACTTAATATTTTGCCCTTTAAAGTTTAATAAATAATTTTAAAGGTAAACCATGAAATATATTAATCAGAAACCTGCAGACCCGGCCCTGGTACACGGGCCGGGCCCTTGCAAATGATACCTCTGCAGGTCTCTGATGTTAATATGAAAAAAAATTAAATGTATTATATTTATTTTTGATGTTTTCCGAAAATGTAAGAAAAAGTGACCTATCCATTTATTAATTTTTTTTTTAAACATGTCAATTCAGCGACTTTTATCGCAAAATATTTATCCACGAAACTTTTATCACCAATGGGGTTCTTATAGCAAAATTCGCGAATATCGAATTAAATATCGCGAATTCTTTATATTTTCAAACCCGAATTTGAAATAATTTTGTACGAAGAAATAAGAGATAAATTTACCTAAAGCTTTAAAAAAAAATCTTGCCAACTTCCGGGATGCAGAAATCTAATGACAGCTTTTAGTAAATTTAGTTGATTCGTATTTGTTTAGAGGGCTGGGCATTAATATCAAAATTTTGTGGGCATTTATTGCTCCCTTCAGGTTGCTGCAACTAAAATTTCACCCATAAAAATTTGTCGCGTATACGGTCTTACCCAAAGTTATAATTCAAATATTATATAAATTTAAATGAAGAACTAAATTGTCATGAAATGTCTTGCTGATGAAGAACTAAATTGTCATGAAATGTCTTGCTGATGAATTGTCGTGAGCAGTCTTACTCAATAAATTGTAGTAACTAATGAGAACTGAGGAAACTGTAAATTAAATAAAAATAAAATGAATAAACAAAAATATTTTTTATTTCTTTATTCTTTTTAATTAAACTGAGAAAAGAAGAGAAGGGAAGAGAAGAGAAGAGAAGAAAGAAGAGAAGAGAAGAGAAGAGAAGAGAAGAGAAGAGAAGAGAAGAGATTTTTTCAATATTTTTCATTTCGCGAAATAAGTCCAAAAAAAATTTATATAAATAATGAATAATAATTCTTTCTCTTTTCTTTTCTTTTTAAAACGACGAAAAATATATCAAAACCATAATGTAAACCCTAACCCGGGTTCAGGAAATTTAAAATTGTGTAGTTGGGCATTTTGAAACCACAGAACAAACAGAGATCAATTTTAGGACAACTATTTAAACCAGGGGTAAAATGGACCTGGGGCAGGTTCGGACCTCTCTTAGGAAATCGGTTTCGATTAAGTTCCCGTTATCAAAATTTCTGTTAAATGAAATTTAAAATTCTTGAACCCGGGTTCGGGGTCACATCCCTGATCAAAACAAAAATGAAACTTTCAAATTATTTTATATTTTTTTTTACGTAATGAATACAACAAACATCTCACCCTTTCCCCGAGGATGAATTAAACGGTATGTCCATAATCTCCTTCCTCATCATTTCCTAATATCATCTCTCCTCCAATCTTTGTACTTCTTACATCTGACGTTTCTATCTCCACAGGCTCCAGTGGTATGCCCACCTGTAGTGTTGTTAAATGGCTAGTATTGAGCCGATTTTTTTCTAACTCAATATTTTAGCCAGAAAAATATTGCCTAAGCATCGAGATATTGATAATATATGTCTCAGGGACCTTTGTTCCTTCTATGAGCAAAATCTTCAAGCTTTACGTAATATTTTTTCGGGTGAAATATTGAGTTAGCAGTTTTTAAATTTCGCGGCTTAAAACGAAAAATAATGAAAGGTTATATAGGAAAAAGATGAAAGAAGTAATATGTTTGTTGAGTTGAGGGAAGTATATATAAAGAGTTAAAATCAACGTTTTCACACATAAAAAAGTTTTAGAGAGAGAATTCTGTTAGTTGGAAATATTTTTTGGTGATCGAGGTTAATTTTTTGAAAAACCGCAAAGCTTTTCCAGCGGTGGAATACGTAGGAAATGAGCAGAAAAATATAGTTAAAGGAATTTATAGAGAGGATATAATTTGTTATAAGTGTCGAAATATTGGGCATTATGCGAAGGATTGTAAGGTAGAATGACTGTATGATAGTAAAATAAATATATCAGGAGGAGTGTCAACAAAGAATACAGTGGATCATGAAGTAAATTTAATCAATTATAATGAAGTAAAAGTGGAAAAGAAAATAAATAAGAATAAAAATGATGGGTTTTGTAAAAATATATTGGAGGATTTAAATCAAGAAAATCAAATAAGTAATTTACCTATCTTTAATTTGAAGGATAGTAGGAATTATGATCAATTCCCATGGGTTAAAATTAATATAGAGAATAAAGAAATATGGATGTTATTGGACACAGGGGCAACGATTTCGGTTATGGGGTATGATGAATTTCATGAGGTATGGCCGGATAAATTCCTAATTAAAGATAAAATGAGAATAAGACAGTTAAATGGAACTGAAGTTATGATGTTGGGAAGGGTTAATTTACCGGTTTTTGTAAATTAAGAAATAATATATTTGGATTTGTGGATATTAAAAGAAAATTTTGGTTATATTATGGGATGGTCTTGGATATCAAAGTTTGGGTTAGAAAATAATTTTTGGAATATGTTTCAAGAGAAAAATAAAAATGATGAAAGAATTGGAATACCAGAGATAGCTATGAAAGAAAGGGGAATCAAAATGGAAAATAAAATAAAAGAAAATATGATTATTGAGAAAATTAAAGTTGAAAATTTAAAGTTTAATAATCAGGAAATTAATGATATTATTAAAAAAGAAGTGTTGGGGAATAATGTAATGAAGCGGAATAAAATTAAAAATTTGGTGAGTAATATCAAAGAACAAAAGTATAAATTTGAAAATAGGATAATTTATGATCTAGAACTTAGTGATAATATAGAAAAAGAAATGTTGGAGGATAAGTTAGTGAAACGGGATAAAATTAAAAATTTTAAGTAATTTCGAAAAACTTCGGGAAAATGTGGAAATTTTTAAGGATGAAATATGTCAGGAGAAGCTTGATGTTTCAGATGAAAATTGTGAAATAAATATAATAAATAATCAGGAATTTGGGAAGGTTATTAATTTGGAAAATGATGATAATTTGGTGAGTACAGAAATTGTTAATTTTATGGAAAAATGGGGTAAGGAATCGGTTTTGGAAGAAGAAAATAAAGGAATTTCAGAGGAATTAAAATTAAAAAAAGTTATGTGAACGATGAGGAAATATGTAAGGATTTAAATTTAGAAAGGCAGAAAATACCTGTATCGCAAAAATTTCCGGTGAAATTGATGAGAAAAAAAATTGATAAGAATGTAATAACAAAAGAAATTGATGAAAGTCATGATTTAGGAATTTTAAAGGAGTCCGTTAGGGATTTGGTAAATAAATATAAAGAGATTTTTAATGAAGAATTAGGTTGTTTAGTAGATTATGAAGTAGATATACGTTTGGAGGAAGGATATAGTCCACAGTATTCTGCTATACGTAGAGTACCTTTTGAATGGATGGCAGAAATGGAAAAAGAATTAAATAAGTGGTTAAGAGATGGGATAATTTGTCCGATTGGATATAGCGAATGGGCAACACCATTAGTTCCTATAAGGAAAGCTAATTGCAAGTTAAGAATTTGTGCGGATTTCAGAGTAACTTTGAATCCGTTGGTTGTGGAAATAAAGTATCCGTTACCGAGAATTAAAGAAATTTTAGCGAATTTGAAAGGGGCGAAGTATTTTTCAAAAGCTGATTTTTCGTGTGCGTATTTGCAGTTACCTATAAAAGAATCTACGAGGAAATTGTTAACCATAACAACGTTTAAAGGGTTTTTTACGTTTTGTAGATTGCCATTTGGATTAAGTATTTCGGCACCGATTTTCCAAAGGACAATGGCTGCGGTTTTTTAAGGGTTAGAAGGTGTTTTTTATTATATGGATGATGTTTTGATTACGGGAATAACGGTGGAGCAACATAATCGGAGGTTAAAAGAGGTCTTTGAGCGAATCAAAGTTAAAGGATTGAGGGCAAGTAGAGAAAAAAGTGTTATGAGTGTTACAGAAGTTGTATATTTGGGTCATAAAATAAATGGAATAGAGGTAAAACCAT